GTCCCAAGGGCTTACTGCCCAACTGTGAGTTCAGGGTCAGTAAGCCAACTTATATAATAATAATAATGATGATGATGATGACAATAATAAAAAATGATGCTTAAACTGATAGAATACTGGCTGTTGATGTGCCTCCACACCTTCATACACAAATGATCATATACACATTTACCACACACACACATAAAAAAACGGTGGCTGTAAAAATCAAATTGCAAACAAAATAGAAGAAATTATGAACAGACATTTCTCTGTCTCTGAATAGAACCTGCCTTAGCTTTTAAAGTCATAGAGGAAATCCAGAGGGGGAACCCTATTGTTTTGGTTACATAAAAAATATTAGATCCTTCAGCCCCCACAGATTTCTGTGCATTGCTTGTTAGCAGATAACCACAGGTGCATCCATTCCTGGCTTACAGCCCCGGCCTTGCCCACCTGACATCAATATCTATCATGAGGAAAACATGAGCTCTTACACCTGGGGTTTCTTCATTGTGCTGTAAATCTGTATGTAAAGCTACTCACTCCTTACAGCAGACACACATACATGCACGCACGCAGAGACAGAGACACACATGCATTCTCCTGGCAATAAAGGCAAGAGACACATTCTCTTAGCACAAACAGTCAGATGCCTTGTCTTTCATTTCCTGATACCTTAGACTTGTTCGTGGTGCAGACGCCACACACAAAAAGAAAAAAGAAAAAAAAAGAAACTAGAGTTGGGGGTGTAGCTTAGAGATGGAGCACAGGCACACATACACACATACACACACACACACACACACACACACCCCACACACACACCACACACATATACACCACACATACACACCACACAATACCACACACACATACACCACATACATACCACACACACATGCACCACACACATATACACACACCACACACACATACACCACGCACACTTACACCACACACATATCACACATACATACACACACACCACATACACATATACCATACACACATACCACACACACACGCTACACACACAAACACACACACATCACATACACATCACACACACATACACACCACACATACACCACATATACATATACATCACACATACATAACATATACACCACACATACACATATAGCATACACACATACATACCACACACACACATACCACATACAACACACACACACACTACACACACACATAATCAGAAGCGAATTAATTACAAGAGAAGGGAGTAATCTAAGATTTTCTAGTACATAAATAAGAAAAGATTATAAAACAGACAACTCACAAATGAGCAAGTACAAATGACTAACTGCTATACAATAACAAAGAAAATTCATTTTCTAACAACTGTTATTAAGAAAGAATACAATTACAGTGCTCATTGCTGACTTGGGCACTGTGAGCCCAGTACATGATCCTTATTTGGCTCTAGACCTTCCTTCAAAGCCAAGGTTATAAAACTCAAAGCAAGGCATATAACTTAGTTTCCTTCTCTGCATATTAACTGTTTCAGATTCTCCCTTAGAACAGTATATGACAAAAGCCCTTAATCCCACTGAAACAGTAGGAAAGGTGTTATTCTGCACAAGAAGTACAAACCTAATTTACGACAGGTGTGGTGACTCCCAACAGTAATCCCAGCACTGGAAATGCTGAAGCCTAGAAAATGCTTGACCCAGCCTGGGCTACATGGTGAGTTTGAGGTCCACTTGGGCTACATAGTAAGACTCTCTCAAAAGAAAATTATTAGCAGGCAGGGCAGTGGTGGTGCACGCCTTTAATCCCAGAACTCAGGAGGCAGAGGCAGGTGGATCTCTGTGAGTTCAAGGCCAGCCTGGTCTACAGAGTGAGTTCCAGGATAGCCTCCAAAGTCACAGAGAGACCCTGTCTCGAAAAACCAAAAAAAAATTATTAGCTAAGGTTACTCAACTACATGTAGTCCATTAAGATTCAGTCACCCGTGCTTTTGATATAAAAATTTCCAGTGGCCACAGATGAGGAAGTGATTTGTATTATTAAAATCTGTATCATTGATACTGCTTGGTAGGCTTTGAATGTGTGTATAGACACGTGACACAGATAATTGCCTTCCAAATCTTTTCAGTCTTTCAAAACAACTTTGGTTTGGTCTCTGTGACTTTTTTTTCTTACTAATCACAAACCACAATGTGAACTTCAGCAAACAGTGCCACATCATAAAACATTCGCCTGGCTTCATGTCTCTGCTTACTTGCTCGGAGTGAAAGACAGATGGTTTTTGTTGAATGGGGATCATAATTTGCATCTGGTGGGATAATGGGCCGTTTTCTTCTGTGCACACATTGACATCAGCAAGAACTGCCCAAAGGTAGAGGAAGGATTTGGCTCAGTCAATATGCATTCAGCCTGGACTTAAGAAGTTAAAATGAGCCAAGTGATCATCTGATGGAGAGCTAGCAGATTTGGAAGTTTCCTTTGAAATTTCCTGAGATTTTCCTTTGAAATTTCCAGGCCAGTGAATGAAGTAATTCCAGACTTTAATGAGTGTCAGAGGCCTCTCAGGCTCCAAACTAAGACAAATGAGTGTGCAGACCAGTTCCAGGTCTTGGTGTGGCAACGGGTTGTGTCCATGCTCCCTTCTGTGATCAGAAGTTTCTTCCGATAGTCACCTGACTTCAAAGTGACCCCGAACGCTGAGTCAAACATTCCTACCTGCTTCCCACATGGGGAAGCTGGGGACCCAGAAAGCCAAAGCCAGCTCCCTACTCCCACAACAGGGAACTGTGAGCTCTCAAGTGGTTATGCTATGGAACGTTAGTCAAAGCAAAATGAAACTTCCTCTTCTTTGCTTATCTTTTCTATTTAAAAACCAAGTCCTTTCTATTTCATCTGCTCTCAGGAGACTAACTGGGCTGTTAGTTTGTTTAATCTTTTGACTCATGTAAACTTGTAAGCCCCTCTAATTGGAGCAGGACACTCCAGTGGCTGAGTTAGGGTGAGCCCCGAAGGCCCCCTCACCTGCATTGAGCTCAGCCTGTGTAGCAGTGGGAATGCTTGCTGGTAGATTTCAATGATGTGGTATATGGAGAAAGTTTAGGGAGTGGACACTTTGTTCCTTAACCTGGAGAATACTGTCTTTAAAACTTTCAGGTTTGGATATTGCTTCCCTCTGTAAACTGTTGAAATGTATTTATCTTCAGGGTTTTGAGTCTCAAGATACTTTGATCATCTGAATTGGGAAAGTCTGATGCTTGGTTTTGAGACCGGATCATCAAATAGCCCAGGATGGTTTCAAACTCATTTTATAGCCCAAGATGATTTTGAACTCATCTTCCTGCCCCCACTTCCAAGGTGCTGGGATTTCAGGCATGTGTCACCACCTTCAACAAATTCCATGACATAAATCACTTCTCCTAAAATTGAGGTTAGAAAGAATCTTAGGGGCCGGGAAGATGGCTCACCAATCAGAATGCTTGCCACCAAGGCTGGTGGCCTCAACTGAACCACTGGAGTCCACATGATGGAAGGAGAAAATGGATTCACAAGTTCTCCTCTGACCTCCACATATACACACAGCACTAAATAAATACATATTTTAAAAGGATTCTTGACGGTTTTTTTTTCAGTAATGGGAGTCAGATCCAGAGCCCTGCACACCAGGCAAACATTCTACCCCTTAGCTGCACCCCAACCACTGTAGAGCTTTCTAAAATCTTAGACATTTTTTAAATCTTAGCTAGATAAAGAAACTAAATTCAAATAAGTTGTGGCACGTCTCAGAGCTATTCCATGTCACTGCAATACAAATCTGCCCTGTTCCTTTAAAAAGCTGCCCAACAATTTGTATGGACAGGTCCTAGTTCATGTAGCTGTTTTTGTTTGGGGAATACTTTGGTTATTAACAGGTTTTTTATACGATTGTAAATTGTAAATGGCAAACCCCTTGATCTTGTATGTAGTTAGATATCTGAGTATATTTACAGAATGGATATCAGGCATGACATCAGCATCTCAGTAAAGACCGTCCTTCCTCCTGAGTGACGCCTGTGGTCCGTGTTCATGCCAACACTGGATATTACCAGTCTTTTTCTTGAGTCTTTTAGGCACTGAAAACCAGGGATTGGAGTTTAGGTCAGAGGGAGACTATGTCCCTCAAGTGCACAGACTCTGCTTTCTTTCCCAGCACTGGGGTGGGGTGGCAGTGGAGACCTTTTATATCAATCTATCTGAACCTTATTTGTATATGTTATAAAGAATAGGAGCCAAGCCCTGTGTGTCTGAGTGTATGTGTGTTATGTGAGTGTGTATCTATGTGAGTATGTATTTCTGTGTGTGTATGTCTTATTTATTTATTGACAACAGATCCTAGAAAATATCCCCTGTGACACGTGACCAGAGCACACTGGGCATGTGTCTTTTGTTGTGTTCCTTTCCCACAACCTCTAAAAAGCTCATAAAAGCTGTCTTTACAGGGCCAGGGAGATGGCCCAGTGGGCAAAGATGCCTTCTGCCAAGCCTGCCGATCTAAGCTGGATCCCTGTGACTAATGCAAGACCTAGCTCTCACAAGGGACACTCATGACTGCGCACATGTGTGTGCATGATAAAAATGTTAGTTTGTAATTGTTTTTCTAACCACCCCACACGTGAAGCATGCTCCTGGAAGCAATCTGAACACACAGATTTCTCACCTTCCGGGCTTACAGTTTGATGCTTGGTAGTTTCCCCATAAGATGCTTTCATGTCACTGCCACTTAGATATAGGTCGTCACCACCTGCGCTCACGTCACCTCTTTCCTGCCTTCCACTTCCCTTTCTGATTTTCCTGCCATGTGGCTCCCACCTGTCACAGCTGCCTGATCGTGGACCTTTCAGCTGCCAGAACCTCTGTTCTTTAAAAACTACCCAGTCCCAGGTACTGTTACAGCATCAGAAACAGACTAAGACATAACCCGGTATGGACTGGTACCTAGCCAGCCGTGTTAATTAAGCTTTTCATCACTGTAGGCAAACACCCAGACAACCTGAGGGAACGTGCATTTATTTTAGTTCATGTTTTCTTAAGTCTCAGTCCAGGAAGAACACAGCAGTTGGGAGCACATGGCAGAGGCTGCTTGCATCGCAGTAGACAGAAACAGAGACAGAGAGGGGCAAGGGTGAGCTCTGTCCCACAGAGACAACCCCGAATGACCGTCTTCCTGCTTCAGAGGATATGAAACCTCACCAAACAGCTTCCAACCTGGGAACCTGGGAAACATTTCAGATTGAAACCTAGAAACAATGACTTTCCCCCAAGCTCTGAATTCTCAGCACACTGCTCTGGCAGCCACAGCCCATCTCTCACCGTAGGCATACTGATGGGGGCAGGCTGCCATCGCTGGACTAGGACACTGAGTAAATGTTTTACAGTGGTGGGCACATGTATTGTCACCTTGTCTGTCAGTGACCTCACCTATGTATTTTGAAGCAAAGATTGTTAGCAGTGGTCTGGCCACCCAAGGAGAAATAGAAGGCATGGTGGGTCAGACCCCAAGCCCTAGCATTCAGGAGACTGAAGCAAGAAGGTGTGAATTTGAAGGTAGTTCAGCTTCATGACACCCTGCTTTACTTTTATAAGCACATGTTAATTATCTATAACATTGTGGTTTTCCTCATCTATCTGATGTATGTTGGTCATTTCCCCCATTATATTATTTTATTCCTCCTCCTACTCCTGCTGACTCCCCTTCCTCTTTCTGACTAGTCTCCCCTCTATTTTCAGGTTTTGTGGGGTGTGTGTGTCCGTGTGTGTCCATATGAGTTTAGTTAGGTTTACTTACATGAGCATGGGTAGAGAGATATTTACAGGAGCAGCTCAGGGCAGTAATTTCATATCAAAGGTTGGGAGCTACAGAAGGAGGCCGAGAAGATGTCTGGTCACCCCACCCAGGTCTGCCAGGCTCTCACTGTTATCTAAGGTCTTCTGCAATTGCTTGTACACGGTGGGTGAAGGATGTTGCATGATGGATGCCTTCAGGAACAGAACCTGACTGAAAAATGGAGGAATCATAGAGCAGCACTCCAGCATGTCAACCCCAAGGGTGCCCAGCAGGACCCGCGTCCCAGCAGCCCCAGGGACAACCTGTTCATTACTGCATCCTCACTAAGGGCTGTTCCACTTTCCCTTCACAGTCTTACATCTGACTCTCAGTCTGGGAGCTCTTCCACGGAACCAACTAGAACCCCAGGCCTTGACTCACACTCTATTTCTGGAAGACCTGGGCCAACACAAGGAGGGACATTACTCCTGCCCTTTTGAGAACTGACACTAGCTAACAAGCATAGTCTTTCTGAAGAGAAACAAGACTCTTCTTGGAACAAGGGAGAGGGTCTATTTTTACATAAATGAGGAAGCTACAAAGGTAGAGGCTGAGACAAGTGTCAGGTCCAAAAGAAACCTGGACAAATGACTAACTGTAGTGTCTATTAGCACACCAAAGCACATGCTGGCCTCCAGACTCTCTCAGCATCACAAACACCTGTTACTGAGTCCATGCTGGCATCCTGACTCCTCTCAGCTCTTCTCACCCAACCCTACCCTAAGCTTCCTTTCTCCCACCTTCTCATTCCTATATAACCCTGCCGCTTGGCCCATGTGCTCTCTCTTGGCTCTTTCTTGACCCCCTCTCTCTTAGTCCTCCTCTTTCACCAGCACTGCTCACCCCCCCCCTCCTCTCATGGCCCAGTTCAGTCTACTGGCCATGATTAATCCACTGTTTTCTTTCCCTCTCTGGACTCTTCCAAATGCCTCTGGCTGTTCCCTCTTCATATCTACAATAAAAACCTTCCCCCCAACCATACCTTGAGGTGGCCATGTCCTCAGTGTACACAACATGTAGAGGCCAAAAGTCAACTTTGTAGAGTTAGTTCTTTCCTTCCACCTTAGTGTGGGTTCCTGGAATCAAACGCAGGTCCTTGTGCTTACAAGAAGACATTTTGCTAACTGAGTGATCTCCCTAACTCCACTTTAATAACATTTTTCTGTTGCTTGTTTGTTTCGGGACAGGATTTCTCTGTGCAGCCCAAGTTGTCCTGGAACTGGCTCTGTATACCAGGCTGGCCTCAAACTCAGAAACAATCTGCCTCTGGATCCTGAGTGCTGGGATTAAAGGCATGTACTACTATGCCCAGTTTTCAATCAAATGTTGTTTAGCAAAACTAAAAGATGCCAACCACTTTTCAGGGCCACCCTTTTGTGACTGAGGTCATGAAACCCTAAGCTCTGGGAACTACTCCCAAGCCCACATGGACATTCCTTTCTGTGACCCAGGCACTCTTATCATCTGCCATTTGTACACCAGTGTGACTAGCTTCTTCAAGCTTTGGGAGGTGATGACAGAAACATAGATTCTTATGGCATGTTCTTCTAGGGCCAGCTGGCTAATCCCTGTCCCCTGGTGCCCAGTGCCTGTCTCCAGATCTTCACCTGTCCACCAGGATATCTCTGGAAAATTGTCAGGCTCATGCCAGACCTAGAATCTGGTATGCCTATCCTTGAGAGGCCTGAAGGACAATAAAACCCACTCAAGTTACCTGATGCCTCGGTTTTCCTAGGATCCTCAGAAAGACCCCACATTGCAGCTGAAGCAACTTTAGTGGTGATGGCACTAAAACATTGTTGGCAATGTTTTAACTCCTGTCTAGTCAGAATCTCACCCGGTTCGGAAGAGTTGTCCCCAAGTATCGATGTCACTCCATCCCTTGTAAATGCTCCTCCAGCAGGGTGTGGTAACACACACCTGTAATTCCAGCACTCAGAAGGCAGAGACAATACAACACCAGCCTGATCTAACAAGACAAAACAAATGTTCCTCTAATTTAACAAGCATGCCATGCCTTCTGTTCTAGTCTCATTCTGTTGCTGTGATAAAATACCCGCTCCTACCCCCTAACCCCCTAACCCCTACCTCCCAACCCCCCACCTCACACACTGAGAAAAAAGCAACTTAGAGGAGGGAAAACTCTCCTGAGCAATTCTAGGTGACAGTTCATCCTTGCAAGGAAGTCACACAGGCAGGAAACAGTGGGCCACATCACACCCACAGTCAAGATGGAGAAAGCAAACGCACCCATGCTGCCAGCTGGCTTTCTGGCTGCCTTTCCTCACTCTCAGACAGTTCAGGGCCCAGCCTAGGGATTGGTGCTGCTTAGAGTGGGCTAAGTCTTCCTGCATCAGCTAACAATCAAGATAATACCCTACCGGCAAATCTGATCCGGATGATTCTTAATTAAGACTCTCTTCCCAGGTGATCCTACAGGGTCAGGTTGATAATCAAAACTAACCTGAACATTTGTTTGCACACAACTGAAATTCAAGCCCTTTTATAATTTTAACTTGATAAAAATCAGAGACACCATTAGCAATGATAAAGGACCACACCTGTGAACACAGCAAAAGATGTAAGTGGCTGAGAAAGCTCTCACCAAAGGAGCTACTAAGCAGGGGTAACTGCACGTAACTGTAACACCCGCACCTAGGTGGCGGCAGAAGGAAGGATTGAGAACTCAGGGCGGAAAAAAACTAAGCTACATAGCAAGTTCTAGGCCATCCTGGGACAAGGAATCCTGTTTCAAACTAACTAGAGGAACAAGAATGAAAGGCCTCGGTTGCTTAAATTTTTAATGCAAGTCCTAAAACTTTAATGCTACTCACAGAAAAAGAGAATGCCTCTTTCTCCCCTGGGCTCTATAAAAGCAAGTCCATTGGGAACAACTTTAAAAAATAGCTGAGAAGACGCCTAGAACTGGGGAGGCAGAGGCAGGTGGATCTCTGTGAGTTCGAGGCCAGTCTGGTCTACACAGCAAACTCTAGGACAGCCAAGGCTATGTCTCAAAAATCAAAAATAAATAAGTAGCCTTCGGGGTGGGGGCATCGTGTTGCCTCTGCTTACATGTGCAGGTCCCAGCCTGGGAGATGAAGGTGCTGAGCTCGAACGTCTTAGAGAAGTGTCCCTCTTGAAGTCACCTTTGTTTTTTGCAGTCATATAACTTATGGCTGGACTAGGGCCAGGGCACCTGGAAGGAGCGACGTGTGGGAGTGAGGGACCCAGCTCACTCTGTCACTTTAGAGAGATGGCATGGATATCTGTCCACTAGGGTTACTGTGGATCACAGACTGAACGGCTTCCACAGTGGAAACTGCTGTTTCCTGATTCTGGTGGCTAGAAGTTGGGAGGTAGGCTTGGGTATTTCTGAGGGTTGTACATGGCTGGACTTCCTGTTCTTACAGTTTCTCCCTGTGCACATGTCTTGAGTTTACACCCTTCCTATCAGGACCCCAGCTATCCACCCTGATGACCTTATTTTTAACTTAATTGCTGTGAAGACCCTATTACTAAATTACATCTATTCTGAGGACTTTTAGGACCTCAATATGTAAACACTGGGAGACACAATTTAATCTAATCACCAGCCAACCTGGCTGACTTTGGTTTCCCATTAGAAGAGAAAGCTGGCCTTAGTGCTCCTTGAGGGCTCTTTCAGGCCCAGTGTTTCAAGATTTACTCAGCTCTTTACAACTGCCAAGCCTGGTCCACCATCTACTCGGCTCTAAATACCAGAGTTTTCCCTTCTTGGTCCTGCCAGGCAGCCCTGGAGCAAGGGGGAAATGAGTGAGGAAATGCTCCAAGGGTGGAGTTTCCCGTTAGCTTTTTGTCATTTGCACTAGTTCTGTAATGGGACAAACATCCATGGCAGGGCAAAACGGGGGTCCTGACACCCTAAAGCTGTGACATGCGTCCTGTTCTTAAGGGTGATGCCTCATGCACTCAGCTGTAGATGACAAAATCCGTCCAGGAGAGCTGTGGTGTTTTGTTCTCTCTGCCAATTCATTAGCAGCGGTGGAATGCTTCCCCACTGTCATCCAGCCAGGCTAGGAACAGACTGGAGGCCAGCCTGTGCAGCCAGCAGGGATTGGGAGGGCTTGAAGATGGGAGGGCGGGACCCAGAGGGAGAAGAGGACCAGGAGGAGAGAGCCTGGGGGAGAGAGAAAGAGGGAGTGAAGGAGAAAGGGAGAGGTGGGGGAAGGAAAGGAGGGAGGAGAAGGGGGACGGGAACGTCACTGGCCTGGAGAGGTAACCTAGTTTCTCCCAGGGACTCAGATGGGAAGGTCAAAAGGCTAAGGAGAGGCACCAGGCCTGGTGATCACACAAATTATAGTGTGGCCAGCATCATCTTTAGGGAGAATTTAGAAAAATTGGGGTTTACTTACCTATAAATAAATTTAAAAAAAGCATGGGTTGTAGAAGCCTAACCTAAGGACCTGAAACCTATATAAGGAAGCAGAGCCGCCTGTAGTTAGCCCAAGGCCCAGTACAGCCCACTTCCTTTCTTTGTGCCTTTTTTATTCGTCTCTAAATGCGGAGATGGTAATACCACTGCACTTTGCTCAACTTAAAAATACATCTCTTCTGAATCACCTGCCTCACCCCCACCCCGCCCCCAGCCACGGCACTTCTAGCCAGCAAGGAGTCTTCCACGGCCACTCTGTCAGTCCAGGAGATCTTGCTGGAAGCTTCCAACGCTCCAGATGTTGAACGCAGTCAGGGCACAGCTCCACCACTAACCCAACTGTCCTTGTCTTACGAATGTGCCAACCCTTTATGTTTAAGCCTTTTTTATTAGGAGCGCCTTGGCTTCCTTTCCACACAGTCTGGAAAGATTCCCGCCTCGGACTTCTTCCCAGCTTTTCTGATGCTGAAGAATGATTCGTGTGTGCTGCTCTCTGGCTCTGAGTGTGTCCACGTCTTTCCCTTCTCTTCCCGCCTTGTTGGCAGCAGAGGGAGAAGCCAGCCTTCTGACTCTGTTCCTGCTACTAAGTGTGGGATTGGGCAAAGGGTCTCTGCAGACAGAAAACTGGTTAATTTATCATGAAAAACATTTGTGGTGTCTGTGGATTGAGCCTAATTATAAAAAATGCGACAGCTTCCTGTGGCTCAACCGCATATCTCAGCTGGGTTATCCTTGACTTATATACCTCCAACTGCTGCATTTTACTGTCTCTTGCCATCTGTCTTCTCAGACACTGGCATCTCAGTTGGTTCCTCTCAACTACAGGGACCTTAGGGTACTGAACCTGATATTTGGGGAACCATATTCATTTTTCTTTATTTTTAAAAACAACACACAAACCAGATCTCATGTATCTAGGCTGGCCTCAAACTCATTATGTAGCTGAGGATAACCTTGAACTTTTGCTCCTCCTGCCTCTACTTCTCCAGGGCTGAGATTATAGGTGTGTGCCGTTGTTCTTGGCTTATGCCAAGCTGGTAATCAAACCCCAGCCTCCACACAGGTTAGGCCAGCACTCTGTCCCCTGAGCTGCATTCCCAAGGCCATTCACTTATTCTAAAGCAAGGATTATCTGTCTCCCCTTGGCCAAGCACAGAGCTTAGTCATAAGGACACCAGAGCAGGAAAGACTTCCTGCCTGGGAGGAACTCTTGGCCTACTGTCTCCTGGTCCATGACGGCTTCTGGACTTACATGTGACTTTAATTTTTGAACTTTTATACCCACACTTCCTTTTCAAGGAAGACCCTGACATCCCTGTTAGCACAGAGCGTGGATATCTGCCAGATCTCTAACCCCAGCCAGACTTCCAGGCTCCTCTTGTTCTCATCCTTCCTGCTTCTGCCTGGAGTTCTGTGCCTGGGGTGTCTTCTGGGGTTTACAAACCCTGTCCATGAGTGAAGGTTAGGTCTGGAAGTCACTGGGCGATGAAGCCACTAGGACATTGCTTCCATGGAGCCCCTGTCCCAGCCACTATCTTCAGAGCAGCCCCCCTACAAACCAGTCCTGGTGACTGAGTGGTCCAAGTGACAGCTGGTGGCTCCAGACCCACTAGGTCTCCTGGGAACCTATTTGCAACCACCTTTGGGGCTTTGCCGTCTATCAGATCAGGGTGTGGGGACAGGGGAGCATTTGCTGTGTTGTAACAAGCAGAAGAACAAACTTGAGCACTGGGCTCAGCTGAAGAAGCTGTCACACCAACAGAGCGTTCCCGCCCCCGTGCTTCACCTGCCTCCAACATGGAGGGACAATCAGATGTCTCCTGCGTGTGCTCTGTAACTGGCCCTGGGCTCCTGCATCCATGTTGAGCAAGCTGGAGGCGCCACTGCCACACCGCCTTCACGGAGCGGAGGCAGGAGGACTGGGAGTTCCCTGTCAGCCTGAGCTACACCCAGAACGAGACACTGCCACTCCTCTCCCCTCCCTCCAAAAAAGCCAATGTCAAAAAAGAAGCCCCACAAAACCAGAAACACGTTCTAGACTGAAAATAAGAACAACAAAAGACAATAAAATAATATGCATGATCCCTGACCCAATCCTGGGTTGAAAAAAATGCAGCTGTTAAGGTCTTTGTGTGTGTGTGTGTGTGTGTGTGTGTGTGTATGTGTGTGTGTGTAGAGAAATACTAAAGAAAATAGTAAATCTAACTGTGTATGGCCTGTCAGTGGACCTGTGTGTGTGTGTGTGTGTGTGTGTGTGTGTGTGTGTGTGTGTGTGTGTGGAGAGAAATACTAAAGAAAATAGTAAATCTAACTGTGTATGGCCTGTCAGTGGACCTGTGTGTGTGTGTGTGTGTGTGTGTGTGTGTGTGTGTAGAAATACTAAAAACATAGTAAATCTACATGTGTGTGGCCTGTCAGTGGACTGCTTTCTCATGTCTGCTGTCTAAAGTCTCAGACTAATAAGTTTCAAACACTCTCGTGAGTGGACAGTAGGGAGCTAAAGGTCACGAATAGTCTGGCAGCAGCTGAGGGACAGAGTAACAGCAAAAAGGCCAGGC